CAACTGAATGAAGCCAATTTGCAGCAGCGTGGAAGAGTCTCAGGTCATGGGGGTGCTCAAAACCCTTAGTACCCTCTGCTGTACTCAGATGGAGTTCTAGAATCTTCCAGATCCAGCACAGCCCCATGCCCTGCCAACACCAATCTGGAGCTTCTGCTTTGTCTTTCTGAGCCGCTCCAGCCCCAGGCAACTGTCAGGCCTGGGCTCTCTCCTCCCGTTTGGCTGGAAGTCTCTGCCAGGAATGCCTCCCTTCCTGACTCTAGCTCCTGATCCTTAGGGAGCTGTGTGTCTGTGTACCCTGTGTGTAGAGGCTACCTCAGCCTGGGTTTCTGTATCTTTCTCTGAGTTCCATAGCCTTCATCACACATTCTGGCTGCCCAAGACTCAGCCATCTGTCCATGCATGACAGCTGTCTGACTGGGTTTACCCTCCATGTAGCTCCATAACCTAACATTGTTTCTCATAGACAGTGCCCAATAAAGACATGGGGAGGGGGTGGCAGGCTAGGCTAGGGTGATGAACACGTGAAATAAAAGATAGACCTAGAGACATCGGAAGGAGAGAAAAACCCAAGGATTTAGTAATCAGTTCTTTATCAGAGAGTGTCCAGAATGAGATTGGCTATATCTTCCCGGCCAAATCCCTGACCCAGGAAGTTGTTCACATATGTGCCTCTGAGTATTGTGCAAACATTTTTGGTTTCTGGAGGATATTTCCGAGTTCAGAGTCATCTGGGGACATTTGGAATCTGAAGTTGTAAAACAACATTCACATGGGAGTGCCTTGCATCAGTGAAAACACACTGCTTGAGGGCAGGCAGGGTCAGGGCTAGAGAAAGACCTTGGGAGTGTTGTGGGAGGGTCCAGCTGACCAAAGCCAGCAAGCTGTGCTTGGCTGGAGAGAGTCTGAGGAAAGCCTGAAGCCAGGCAGGTGTGTGTGTGTGTGCCTCAGGGGAACAGGCACTAGTGAGGGATGGAAGGATGAAATCACAGGGACACAGGGAAATCAAGGAAGCCAGGGGAGGGGATTGTGTCAAGAAAAGAAAAATGTAAGAATCTAACACTGTCTGATGCTTTAAAAAAAAAAAAAAAAAGCAGAGTTCAAAACAGAAGAAAAGAGAAGGAGGGAAACTTCCAGAAGAAAAGCTCCTACAGGAAAACCAGATCTCAAGGGGTTAAAAAAAAAGAGCATGGTTAATGAGTCATGGAAGCCTTGGGTGTGGTGATTAGACTTCCTATTTGAGGAATGGGGCCAGAAAAGAAGGCTGGATTAATTCTCAGGAAGAAGGGAGGAGTGACTGGGTCGGGGGAAGATTTTCCTGTTGGTTATATGGGAGGAAATCGGACCAAGTTTGAACGTAGGGAGCAGTTGCCCATGGACACTAAAGGGTTCTGGATAAATGCCCCATTCATGCCGCTTCTATTTTACCAAACCTCTTCCTCGCCTCGCCTTCCTCACTCCACCCCACCTGTGTCCCATAGACCTTTCTATTTGGGGAATGTCCAGAGCCATAGCATCGTCAAATCCCAGGAGAAGCTGTTGTAACACTAGTGATCGGTTTTCAGCCCTGACACCCACAGGCTTGACTTACCCTCTCAGTGGGGCTGGCTAGATGTTTTGTCCTGTTTGGAACAGAAATTAGTAACACCAGTGCACACACAGAAGTAGCACTGACTTGGAGTACCTATCGGGTACATAGTAAGCCAGGATTCCGATGCCATGTGTCTGACTTTAGGTCCGTGTGCTTAAGTCACTGCCCTAAACACACAATAAACAAAATGGAACTTCAGTTTCATGCTCATGTGCCTGATGCCACTACAAGATTCATAATATTGATGTTATGGACAGCATACTTGTCCAAGGTCACCACTCCTGTTACCTCTCTGGACCCAGTGTCATGGAAGGTTGGAGCAGCTGTAAAAATCAATGAATAATTTAATAAACACATAATCTACTGTGTACAAGGACCTAGAGATAGGAGCTCCATAACTCTTCACAGCCACTCCATTTTATTTTTGAAGATGTATTTATTGTTATTGGAAAGGCAGGTTTGCAGAGAGAGAAGGAGAGAGATCATTCATCCACTGGTTTACTCCCCAGATGGCCATAATGGCCAGAACTGGAGCTGAACCAGTCAAAGCCAGGAGCCTGGTGCTTCTTCTGGGTCTCCCATGTGGGCGTAAGGGTCCAAGGACCTGAGGCATCCTCCTCTGCTTTCCTGGATGCAGCAGGAGGCAGCAGTATTGGAAACAGCACCACAGGAACTGGAAACAGCACCCAGCCACTTCAGCCACTCCATTTTATAAACAATGACATGGCCAGAATCTGAACTCAGACAACCAGAATAAAGGCAACACCTCACACCACTTCCCTCTCTGAGTTTCTGTGGTCGGAGATCCCTCCCTATCTTGGTCAGAGACACCACTGGGTCCCCACAACTTCAAGGCTGCTGTGTGTTTTGGTTCCCAACCTATGAAACAAGAGGGGAGTGAATAGGCACCTCTAACAGGCAGGTGCGCAGGTGTGGGAGGAATAGAGCCTTTCCCTTAGTTTTTCTAGATCCACTATGTCATGCTTTGGAACCTTCAGCTCTCCAGGATGGAAAGCAAACGAACAGCCACAGATTACACCACAATTTCAGAATCTTGTGTGTTGCGGGACCCAGGGGTTGTGGGTGAGGGTGCCTCCTGTTCACCAGTGCTGGTCCAAGCACCCATGCCTGTTGCACCTTCAGTCCTGGCATAGTTCTGCTGCTTCCTCACCATGGACCTTCCCTTGTCTGACTGCTCACACCCTCCCGCTCCCCCATCCATCCCTGTACCTCCTGGCAAAGCCTGGGAGTCCTCAGCCTAAGGCCCTGTTTGGAAATCCCAGCCAGAAGTCCTACCAGCCAGACTCACCACTGCCCCCTCTGAGAGTAAACTGAGGGCCAGGATAGAGGTGGACCTGGTTTTATCTGTCCGTTTTACTAATATTACTTACTATGCACGGCCACGTATTCGCAAGATCTCAGAGACAAGGCTTTACCAAGACTGCAACGAGTGTTCTCTCCAGAGAGACGTGGCGCCATCTGTAACTGCTGTTGTGACACTTGGCCAGTCTCAAAGTGAACAAGGAAGCTACTAGAAAGAGAATTGCTAGTCCAGTTCAGGCTGTGCAGAGCTGTCCAGGTGGTAGCTGCGCGAGGACCCAGCACCCAAACTCCCTGCCTCGCAGCCCCTGCCTTGACCAAACTCGCATCTTGAAAATCATCACTGCCAAGTTGAAGCCAGGACATTCGATGACCCCTAACCCTGACATGCAAGTCCCCTGCCCTCCTGGTGGGGACATGTGTCTGCTAGGACATATTCCTGCACCTAGAGACTCAGGGGGCCATCTCCATCCTACCTGCCTCCCTTTTCCTGCCCAGGGTCCCTAGGGCTCTCCTGGGCCAGGCTATGTCGGCAGCCACCAAAGGGACTGGCTATTCTCAATCCAGACACCTTCTGCCCGAGAGCTGGTCACAGAGCAGCTCGCCCTCCCCTCCCACACATCCCACATGATTTCCATCGCCACTTAGAAACTTCTGGTTGCTGTCAGCCTGTCCCAGGGGATGCCAGAATGGGACTCCACGGCCCAGAATTCGACCTTGCCCTTCTGCCCAGCAGCCCGTCAACACACCTGCTGAGCTGTGTTGCATTCAGCGCTACTGTCACAGCTACCCAAGCTCCCTTTCTGATTGAGAGCACGGGCAGGGCTTGATCCTGACCTTTGGAGGCAGGTGTGGACCACGGGTCCCTAAAGCGCTCCAACAGGGTAGCTGTTGGTTTTAGATGGCCACTCAGATGAAAGGCTGTGCTTGACAGCAGAGCAGATGCGCTTAGCCTGTGCCCCAGCTTATACAGGCAGAAGGGGAGCCCTCTAACCCTAACCCAGTTAGGACCCAACACATCCTCCTGTATCACTGTGTGTGGTTGTTGCGGGACAACAGTGCTTGAAGTGCTGACAAATCTTTATGCCAGGTTCCACGGGCGCTGAAAAGAGACATCAGGTCAACCTCGGGTTATTGAGAAATCGCGTTCCCGTCCTTCGTTGTTCCGCTTCGTGGCGTTTTGAAAGACTGGCAAGTGTGGGGCGGGGCGATGGCCAGCCCGCCGGGGATTCGGTCTGCGCCCTGCTGGCCTTGGCTGCTGCTGCATGGACGGAGAGCCAGCCGCTGAGAGAGCTGCAGCCTTCGTCCAGGCTCACGCATCGGCCAGGGACGAGCTCGGGCGTACACCCAGCTGCAAACGCCGTGGCCATTTCCGCTTCTTAGATCCGCGGGGTGAACGCCGGCACCACGGACCTCGCGGGGCGCAGCTCCGGGATGCCCAGCGCCACCTCCCTTGGCTCCGTCGCACTCCTCCCCAAGGTCTCCGCCCTTCGCGCGTCCTCTGCTGGTCGGCAAGAGAAGCGCCTCCCCTGGACCCCAGAAATGATACCCACCCCCACACCTTACTTGGATGGAGAAGCAGGTGACCCATTGGATTCCTGTGAGTCGGGATGATGCACTGAGAAGAATTGGGGTGACCTACCGAGTGAGACCCAGTGTCACCCCCAAAAGAATGGGGCACCCGGGAGGTGGGGGGCGGGCGAAGGAGGACAAGGGACAAGTGAATAGTGAGAGGAACAGCAGAAGCCTCCTGGGTCCTGGTCCCTGGTCCCTGGCAGCATCTGCACCCCTAGACGCTTCTTGAAAATGCAGACTCGGGCCCGGCGCGTTAGTGTAGTGGTTAAAGTCTTTGTCTTGCACGCCCGGGATCCATGTGGGCACTGGTTCTAATCCCAGCAGCCCTGCTTCCCATCCAGCTCCCTGCTTGTGGCCTGGGAAAGCAGTCAAGGATGGCCCAGAGCTTTGGGACCCTGTGCCCGAATGGGGGACCAGGAAGAAGCTCCTGGATCCTGGCTTCGGATTGGCTCAGCTCCGGCCTTTACGGCCACTTGGGGAGTGAATCATTGGATGGAGAATCTTTCTCTCTGTCTCTCCTCCTCTCTCTGTATCTGACTTTGCAATAAAAATAAAATAAATCTTAAAAAAAAAAAGAAAGAAAATGCAGATTCACAGGTCCTGCTCCTGGGTGTGAACAAAGTGAAATCTGCATTCCCAGGAGCTGTCTGGGCCACTAGGATGAAGAGGTCTTGCTGTGTGTCTAGCTTGGCTTTTGCTTCAAGATGACACTAACAGTGTCTGGTGGCTCCGCGGGGCTCCCTGGGATGGAGATAGGGCTGGAATCATACCAGCTGCCCGGCTTGGTTCCTGGGGTGGCACCTTCCAGAGCTGGGCCTGAAGCCAGGTCCCCGGGCGCTGGGGGCTCTGCCCCCTGAGGCAGTTTGCATGAGCATCTTGGTAGTGCTCACCAGGGGGCTGTCAAAATAGCCCAAGCAGACCCCAACCAGCTCCTTGTCTCTGATGCTGCTTCCAGATGTAAGAGCTTGCTTGCTGTGGTCCCCAGTGCTAGAACAACCCATGCAGTTCAGCCTGGGCCAGCACCATGCCCTGCACCCTCCAGAATCATGAGCTATGCAAATGGATTTTCTTTGGAATGTGAGCTGCCTCAGGTGTACTGCTGAGAAGCGTCATGCTGCTTGATGCATAGTACATGAGACCCCTCTCTGAGCGAGGCTGCTTTCCGTCATGCCATACCCCCTCAACTAGCCTTTCCAGCCCCCAGTGCTGGTTTCAGCTCTGTTTCCTAGAAAGCCATGAGAATCTACTCCCTGGGTTTCCTGCCCCCTGGTGAGAAGACCCTTCGAACTGTCCTTCCTTGCCCTTGTTCAGAAGCCAGTGGGCAGCAGAAATGTTGTGAGTGGCATTTTAGGGTCCCCAGGGAAAGCTTCCTGTCCACCAGGGTGGGTTTATTCTTAAAGTGACGCCCCTGTGCCCACTACCAAGGAAGAGGGATGCCCTTGTGAGCAGATGGCTTCCAGGGCCATTTTCTGGGTCTGTACCAAAGGTGTCCTTCTTTCTCTTTTTAAAAATTTTATTCAGTTTTACCTACTTGAAAAGCAGAATAACACAGAGAGAAAAAGACAGATGTCTTGATCCACTGGTTTGTTTCACCAAATGTCCATATCAGCTACGGCTGAGCCAGGACCAAGTCAGGAGCCTGGAATGGCAGCCCTTTAGTTACCAGGACCCCAAGCGCTGAGACCATGATGCGCTGCCTGGCACGGTGCACATTGGCAGGAAGCTGGATCAGAAGTGGAGCAGTGTCCCACAACCAGGCAATCTCACATGGCAGGCAGGCATCCCAGGTGGCATGCCACCCTGGGCTCAGGTCTTCTCCAGATTCCTTCAGCCCTGGCACTCCACATGCCTCCATCTACAACATAATCTTGACCTTTTCCAGTTCTGACCCTATTTAATACAGACACATTTAATGGGGATCAGTTATTCTGCTAGGAACAGTACATATGGCAGAGAAAAACATCAATGCTGTTAGGCGAATATGATAACCATCCCACTATGGAAACTTGTAACATCAATGCTATGTTTCCTGTCTCTCTTTTTAATAATTTAAAAATTATCAGGGAACCCACTGCCCCTGGATTGCAAATGCATCAGTAGGGCCTAGTACTGGGAAGCAGGGTGGGAGAGTGTGTCTAATGAGAAAGTATCTTGTGCAAAAGCAGGAATGGGAAAAGTACTGCTGAGGCCAGCAGTTGTGCTAAGTCCTGCCAGGAATCTTGCCTGAATAGAAGCTGGTCCCTGCTCTCAGAAGATGCATCATGGGCGGGGAGGGGTGGAGCTTGGGGAATGGTTGAATGCCATGCGAACACTGTAATGGAGATGGAGCCAGAATGGCAAGCCAGGGAGCTCAAGTTGCACCTGCAGGAGAGTGAGGGCCACTCAAGGCCACACTGGTCTATGAAGGGCCAGTGGAACAGGACAAGCTGCTGAGACTTCCTGCACCCCGAGGCCCAGGAGCAGTCCAGGTAGAGGCATGGGATGGAGGCTGAGGGCAGAGAATGACCACAGGGCAGTGATAGAAAGAGTGTAGGTGTCACCAGGTGGAGGACAGCTTGAGCTGCCCCTGTGTAAGATGAGGGGTTCAAGAATTAAATCCCCTTTCTTGTGAACTGTCCCCAAATTCGCTTTTACTCTTGTGTAGAGATCTCAACGTCATTTTGAAGAGTTGGCACTTCTGGGGCCTAAAGAGCCAGGAAGACTTCTGACCAGAGCACCAGAGGGCTGCCTCTGGCAGAAGGGTACAGGGGTCAGGGGCAGCAGACTGATGGGCCAGTGCTCCCTGCCAAGATCCAGGAGGGCACCAGCGGGGTCTGGAAGCTGAGCAGTGGCTGCAGAATCATAGCCAATGCTGGAGGGATCCTGCATTGCCACAGGGGCTACCAGCTGCCCCCATGCCAGCCAGAGGCTTCTTCCCATGGAAGTCAAAGGACACCAGTGTGACCTAGCCTGCCTGGATGGATGCTGAGGACAGACACGCTGGGGATATAACTCCAGGTCAAGCTGCAGCCAATTGAGTGAGCTCAGGAGGGGCTGTGCACAGAACCGCTACAGATGCACAAAAGGATGTTTCTAGATGTTATGGTTGGGGGGCAGAGCAGGGAGGGATAGGAAACAACAAGTTCACAGAAGCGGCAGTTTACCATGACTGCACACTGCTGGCAGGGCATGAAGACTCAGCCAGGAGGGAAGAGAGGCAGGAGGCTGCCCGGAGTGTGCCCCAGGTTCCCACCTCTCCCAGGCCATTTCATCTGGGGAAGTCAGGGACCTGGCAGCTTCCTCTGTGGCCTGAAGCTCCCCCGTGTGGAAGGTGAGCAATGCATTCATTCATTCATTCATTCATTCATTCATTCAGCATACTCATCAGATGGACCCCTTGCAAGGCTGTAGGCTGGGGAGAGCAAAACCAAACCTGCCTTCAAGGGGTGGAGTGGGGAGGGAAGCCTCATGCACAGGGAGGGAGCAGGGGTGCTTTCAAATGCAGCCCTGGACAAGGGGGCGGTGTGCAGGCAGGTTGCCCTGAAGGAACTTGGTAGGTTCCCACCATGGTGCTGGGCATGGCTGCTCAAGCACTGTAGTGGGTCTGAGCAAAAAGGATTAGTGGGAAGATGTGTAGGGATGCCAATGCTCTGAGAAGGTAAGGAAGGTTCCAGAACAGTCATGAGGCACCCACAAGATTAGTGTAGGACAGAGGGTGTGAAAGAGCAGGAGAGAAGAATGAACAAAATAAGTGGCCCTGGGATTAAGGGTGGGTCTTCCTGCAGACCTGGCAGAGTTGGCCCAATGGGAGATGACCTGAAGCCCAACTTGATGACTGGCAGGCGAGCTGGGGCAGGACTGCTGAGCTGGAAGAACTGGGCATCCCCTTAACCTGGAGGGTGGCACTCAGTAGATGGAGCTGTGTGCTCTAAGTAAGTTACTTATCTTTTCTGGACCCAAGTTTCTTCATCTGTAAAATGGACCTAAGTAATACAGAGGACTGGGAAAATGAGGGGGAGGTGCGAGCTCAGCACTATGGGGGGCGGGGTGCATGTGCAGGGGAGGGCTGCCTGCTCTGTGTGACTCCTATATATTTTTCCCTCAAAATTCGCGAGACATCCCTCCCTCGCTCCAGGTCCCCAGGCCCGCACTCAGGTCCCTTATAGAAAGTGGTACAGTGTTTTAACCTCGGCACCTCTTCCAGTATTACTAAAATCATTCCTAGATTATTTTTAATGCCTAAATCACTGTAAATGCTATGCAAGCAGTTGTAATATTGTCTTGTTTAGCGAATAACCACAGGAGGAAATGTCTGTGCACACTCAGGATAGGCAAGAAAAGTTCAAGTGTTTGCAGTCCGTGATCGGTTGACTCCATGGATACAGAACCCAGCATGGGGCTGGCCGGCAGTTCCTGCTTCTTCTGCAGACTCCGGCCTAGTGGTCCTCATGCGAGGGCTGGTTAACAGAACCCACCAGGCCCCAGCCCCACAGCTGCTCATGCAGCAGGGCCATGCTGGGCACCACACAGCTGTTGCCCCTGCCCAGGGGCCTGCACTGTGGGCATTGCTCTTCTGGAGATCAGAGATACCGTGTGGTGCTGGTGGTCAAGGGACCGTCAGCAGTGGACATCTTGTACAGCATCGGGCCCTCAGGCTGGAAGAGTTCCTTAAGGATATCAGAAATTCCAGTCCCAGCACTACACAAAGAGGGATGGTAGTGCTAGGTGAGGGGGAGACAGCTCCAACAGAGCCTTAAAGTCACACTGGTTTGTAAAGGAAGCTAAACTTATAGCCAAGGAGATGTGAGGCCGGTGGATCTGTAGTCATCCACCTGTTTTGGTGGAACTGTGGTCAGAGGCAAATGCTGGGCTCAAGGGACCGTGGCCCCACCATTGCCCTTTGTGCCCCCAAAATTCACATGCCAAAACAAGCAATACAACACAAGTGATGCTGCTGTTACTTAGATTAGGCTATCAGTTCCCATTCAGAGAAGAAAAGAAACAGGTCTTGCCAATGTGATCCCACCCTCAGAATCCACAGGATTGACTGGGGAACCATCCAGGGTAGGGGAAATCCCAAGGCCTATGTCTGTATCATAAAATGAAAACAATAATAATAAATTAAAAATAAGGAGAAAAAACTTCTGAAGATGAATGGTGGGGATATATTTAATGCCACTAAGTGGTGAGTTTAAAACGGACTATATTTTGCCATAACATAAAATCAGAGGGTGAGTGCACGGGCGCCTCCCATGTGTGAGTGTGAGCTTCAGTCCCGGCTCCTCCACTTCTGAGCCAGCTCCCTGCCCACGTGCATCCTGGGAGGTGGTGCCCACCACTCCCACGTGGGAGACCCGGAAGATGGTTCTGGCTTGGATAGGATTGGCTCAGATCTAGCTATTGTGGTCATTCGGGCAGTGAACCAGTGAATGGAAGATATTTCTGTCTCTCCTTCTCTCCATAAATCTGACCTGCTTTTCCAAGAAAAATAAATAAATCTTTTTTTTTTTTTTAAAGAGAGAAGAAAAGTGAATTTGTGAACTCAGGCACTGGAGGACATTACTGACATGTTACAGAAGCGAACAGAGCCAATCCATCACTCAGGCCCGCGTCTCAATTCCTAACTCTAATCACAACTTTGCCTAGCAGCAAGTTTTTAGCTCACCTCTCCAATTCAAGCAGTTCTGAAAACCCAAACATTTTATAATAGAAGTTGAGGAACAATACTAACATATGAGGGATGTGGATTTTTGCGCAGGTTTATATGTGATTCCTCGTGTATAAAGGCAGAAAACCATACCTGGCAGAGCCTAGCCATATAGGAACATGCAGAACACCCCTCTTGTGTCTGTTGGTGACTTCTGCTCTCCACGTCTGGTTTGAGCCAGGGGCATCCACATCTGGGGCTACAGCTCTCCCTTGGACATCGGATCTTTCTGTTACTTCAAAGTAGCTGCTTGTGGGCAGCAACCTGCTGAGATCCAGGTCCACACACCCATATTTTGTGTTCATACATTTTGTGGGCATTCATCTAGGTTCAAATTGTACTGCTACTTTTATTGAATCCCCATTTTTTGTAAAGCTACCATGGGTAATGTACCATCCCCTTCCCCAAGCCCTATGGTTTTTGTGTCGTTTTGCACAGAGTAGTGACTTTTAAGAGGAACATGCATGTCACCTGGTAGATGAACTAGTTGTGCAAATTACGTTTCATGACTCTGGTCAGGAGAGAAATTTTAGTCCCATGAGCGCGCCCGTCTTGATGACCACCAGAGGGCGCCGCTCCTCTGCCGGGCCGGAAGGCGACCCGCAGGATTGCCGCTGCACCTGGATCCAGGCAGTCAGTGGTCTGTGATTTCGAGCTGTTGTTCCCACTCCCATGGCCCTGCAGACGTTTCTTTGCCTGGTTCCGAATTCATTGTTTGGAGAGAGCAGCTCTCGTGAAATTGTCAGCATCTTGGAGGTCAAGTGAGTTCTTTCCTGCAAGCACTGGTGGTTCAATGTCAGAATCTGTCTGCCTTCCAGTCACATCAGACGCTCAATTGTGAAATCAAAGTCTCTATTTTTGTTTCTTCTAGAACTGAGATCAGTCAACAGGGGCCTGAGTGTGGCCTGCAAAGCCTGAAATATTTACCCACGAGTCCTTCGCAGAACGCAAGCGTGGCAATCGAGCGGCATAAACCAAAGCTTCTCAATGTGACTTTGCCGTGGGCTGGTCACAGGAGGGCACAGAGCCTTCCGGGTACAAACTCTAGTTTGTGATGCCGACTTTTCGGTGGGCAAGGAGCCAACGCTACAAGCAGATTTTCCACGAGGTCCATGCATGACCTCAAAAGATTTAATAACCGCTGCAGGGCAATATGTGCTGCCGGGAGCATGGCCGAGAGCCGCTGCCGCTGCAGGGGTAAGCTAAGGAGCAACTACCTGTGTGCCTTGCCCACCGAATCAGCTTTACACTGTCAGGTGTCAGAAGGTTGCTTGAAACTCAACGTGGTCTCTCCGCGACTGTTTTCCTCCTAGGGCCATAGAAGGCCTGAATTCTCCCGATGCTGCCAGCCCACTCTTGTCCTCTGTGACTCAGGTACTCACCTCCAGTTCCGCCAAGGGCCCCTGCTTCCTGTCACGTGCTTGCGTCTGTCCCTCCCATGACCATCCCGGCTTCCAGAGTCACAGCCTTACAACTGTCCTTGGGAAGCACAGAGCTGGGTGTCGGTCTGCTGCCTCTCCTCTCATCCTGGGACAGTTGTCCATTTCCAACGGGGCTTAGTAGTTGTGATTTCTGGCTATTAGTACCGAGGTTTGGGGGAGTGTCAGGATGCAAATGATCAGTCTGGCATGGAAGATGGCAGGTGTCTTGGTCTTGGAGGAGCCTCCCGGGTGTGTGAGAGGTCCTGTCCCAGACCTCCATCACTTTCAGGGTTCCTTGTGAGCTAAAACTTTCATCTGCTGTGATTTCTCCACACAAAGATCCTTCCACTTATCTGTTAAGATCACATTGCACTTTTATCCCAGTGTCTAAAAGGCAGCCTCTCTCACCTGCCATGTGCCATGTGTCCATACCAAGTCATTAGCTCCTAGCCCCATTCACAACCTCAACAAGTTCACTCAGAAGGAACTGTAGCTACTTTGTTTGGTCACTCCCCCACACAAAACATCCCAAACCCTGTAGGTAGAGAACTTCACAGCATTTCTGGTCATCGAGACGCCTGTAACAAATGTGGGCAGATCTAGAAGTGCCATAACTTAGGACAGCGATGCCAGCAGACCCTGCTACTATTCTGAAATGGAATTCATAGACATAACATAATCTACTTGCACACCTAACTGTACAGATGTCAAGATAATGGAAAAGAAGTAAAAGCGGGGGAGTAGCTCACATTGAATGGTGTGAGTTACAATAGGTGACGGCCTGGGAGGAGAAGTGAATGAGACGTTCCCGCATGTGGATAGAAGGAGTCCAAGGCTTAAAAACAAACCCCACGTACGTTAGCCGACACATTCGAGCCATCACCATGCAGGCCACCCTGCTCACCACTCTCCATGGAGGCATTGCCCATCAGCGACCGATTTTTCCAAGTGGTGAATGGTGCTTAGTCAGGTCCCAAACTGAGCAAGGTACTGTCATTCCCTAATGGGCATGGTGGCTGCACTCCTGGGGGAATGCAGCGCAACCCTGGAGTAGCAAAGACTCCTGACCAGAGCTGGATTCAGAGGTGGCTCCAAGCAGGGATTTCACTCCCACGGATGACACGACGTATAGGTAGGTGTGCTGGGGTGGTGAGATGTAGCTGGCTCTGTACATCCCAGAACCATCATGAACATATGTGCCCCTGCTTCCTGAGGGGTGGGATGGAGGGCACCCACATACGTCACTGCCACAACCAGAAAGCCTGCAAGTGAACAGAATGCTCTCTTGTGAACCCTGTCCCTGTCCATAGCCATGTGAGCACCGATTCTAATCCCAGCAGTCCCACTTCCCATCCAGCTCCCCCAGCTTTCCAGGCCTGGGAAAGCAGTAGAGAACAGCCCAAAGCCTTGGGACCCTGCACCCACACGGAAGATCCAGAAGAGGCTTATGGCTCCTGGTTTCAGTTCATCCTGGACGTGGTGGTTGCAGCTGCTTATGGAGTGAACTAGCAGACCTAAGATCTTTCTCTCTGTAGCTCCTTCTCTCTGTAAGTCCGCCTTTCCAATGAAAATTAATAAAATCTTAAAACAAAAGGAAGAGAAAAAGCAGTATAAGAATTTGACAGAGCAAGAGCAACTGGGTCTCCAGCAAGCCACCTCTGCCAATAGCCATGCACATGGAGTCGGATAACACAGGGTGCCAGGGAGAAGGCACATAGTAGAGGAGACCCCTAAGGTTTATTTAAAGTTTAGTTGTTTTTAAAGGGAGAGAGAGAGAGCTTCCATCTGTTGATTGGCTCCCCAAATGGCTGCAATGCCCATGACTAAGATAGGCCAAAGCCAGGAACCAGGAAATTCATCTGGGTGCCAGAGGCTCAAGGATTGGGGTCATCCTCTGTTGCTTTCCCAGGCATATGAGCAGGGAGCTGGATTGGAAGTGGAGCAGCTGGGACTCACCACTCCATTATATGATGTTATTGCCCCAAGTGGCAGCTTAACCCACTACACTACAGTGGTGGTTTTGATCCTCCAAGTTCTGTGAGCCCATGTGCATTGCCTAAAGCTTAGGTGCCTGTGTTTTCATTCCTCTTCTCTGTAGGATCATGGCAGATCACCTTGACCTTCTCATAGGAGCGGTGCTTATGGTGCGTCCTGTGTTTGGAATTGTTCCCTGCTCCTTTGACGGGCAGGTGGCTTTCTATCGTTTCTGCAACCTCACCCAGGTTCCACAAGTCCTCAACAGCACGGAGAGTCTCCTGCTAAGCTTCAACTATATCAGGACAGTCACCACCTCATCCTTCCCCCTCCTGGAGCAGCTGCAGCTGCTGGAGCTTGGGACCCAGTACACCCCCTTGACCATTGCCAAAGATGCCTTCAGGAACCTGCCCAACCTTAAGATCTTGGACTTGGGCCAAAATCAGTTCAGCGCCTTGCATCCAGATGCCTTCCAGGGGCTCCCCCATCTGACTGAACTTCGGTTATTTGGCTGTGGTCTATCTGATATTGTATTAAAAGATGGTTATTTCCGAAATTTAAATTCCTTGTCTCGCTTGGACCTATCCATGAATCAGATTCAAAGTCTTTCCCTTCATGCTTCATTTGCAGACTTGAATTCCTTAAAGTCGGTAGATGTCTCCCTCAATCGAATAGTAGTTGTGTGTGAGAGTGAGCTCCGGCCCCTCCAGGGGAAAGAGCTCTCTTTCTTCAGCCTGGCAAACAATAACCTGTACAACAGAGTGCCCGTGGCCTGGGAGACATGTCGGAATCCATTCAGAGACATGGTGCTGGAGACTTTGGACGTTTCAGGCAATGGCTGGACTGCAGACATCACTGGAAACTTCAGCCAGGCCATCAGCGGGAGCCAGACTTCCTCTCTGATGCTCGCCTACCACAATATGGGTGCTGGATTTGGCTTCAGCAACATCAGGGACCCTAACCAGGGCACATTTGCTGGCCTGGCCAGAAGCTCAGTGTTGAGTTTGGATCTGTCGCACGGATTTATCTTCTCCCTGAATCACAGACTCTTTGAGGGGCTCAGAGTTTTGAAGGTTTTGAACCTCGCCCACAACAAGATAAATAAGATTGCAAGTGAGGCCTTCTACGGACTTGACAAACTCCAGATTCTTAACATGTCCCATAACCTTCTGGGGGAGCTCTATAGTTCTAACTTTGATGGCCTGCCTGAGCTCACCTATATTGATCTCCAAAAGAATCACATCGGCATCATCCAGACCCAAACATTCCAATCCCTGGAAAAACTGAGTATGTTGGATCTCCGGGACAATGCGCTTACAACCATCTCTTCTCTTCCAAACATTCCTACCCTCCTTTTGGCAAACAACAAACTAGTGTCTTTGTCAGACACTCACCTTACAGCCAAATTCCTCCAGTTAACAGAAAACAGATTAGAAAACCTGGATGAGCTCTACTTCCTTCTCCAGATACCCCACCTCCAGATTCTCATCTTGAATGAAAATCGCCTTTCTTCCTGTACTCAAAGTCACCCATTGGCAGAGAATCTCAGCTTAGAACAGCTTTTCCTTACAGGAAATATGTTGCAGCTGGCCTGGGAATCTGGGTGTGGTTGGGATCTTTTCCAAGGGCTTTCTCACCTACAAATTCTGTATCTGGACGATAACTATCTTAATTTCCTTCCACCTGGAGTGTTTAGCAACCTGACTGCCTTGAAGATCCTTAACCTCAACTCCAACAGGCTGACAGCTCTTGCCCCCGGCAGTTTCCCTGCCAGTTTAGAGAGTTTGGATGTGTCCAGAAACCAGCTGCTCTCTCCTGATCCTGATTTGTTTGTCTCACTTCGCACCTTGGACATTACCCATAACAAGTTCATCTGTGTGTGTGAACTTAGCAGGTTTACCAGTTGGCTTAATCACACCAACGTCTCTATATTGGGATCTCCTGCTGACCTTTATTGCATGTACCCCGACTCGTTCTTGGGGGCCTCACTCTACTCTATCTCCACTGAGGGTTGTGATGAAGAGAAAATCCTAACGTTGCTCAAGTTCTCCCTCTTTGTTCTGTTTACTGTCACTTTGACTCTGTTCCTCTTGACCACTCTCATGGTCACAAAATTCCGGGGCATTTGTTTCCTCTGTTATAAGACGGCTCAGAGGCTGGTGTTTGGGGACTACTCCCAGGAAACAGAACTCAATGAATACAAATATGATGCCTACCTGTGCTTCAGCAGCAAAGACTTCGAGTGGGTGCAGACGGCTCTGCTCAAACATCTGGACAGACAATACAGTGACCAAAACAGATTCAACCTCTGCATTGAAGAAAGAGACTTTGTCCCGGGAGAAAACCACATCACCAACATCCAGGCTGCTGTCTGGAGCAGTAGGAAGATAGTCTGTCTGGTGAGCAGACACTTCCTTCGGGACGGATGGTGCCTGGAAGCATTCAGTGTTGCCCAGAGTCGGTGTGTGTCTGATGTCAGCAGCACCCTCATCATGGTGGTAGTCGGATCTCTGAGTCAGTATCAGCTGATGAAGCATCCATGCCTCCGAGGCTTCGTGCAGAAGCAGCAGTACTTGAGGTGGCCTGAGGATGCCCAAGATGTCGACTGGTTCCTCAGTAGACTGTCTCAATGCATAGCGAAGAAGGAGAAACCAAAGAAGAGAGGTGAAAGCATTGTGCTGCAAACAGTGGCCACCGTCTCCTAGTCCAAGCAGCAGTTTGCAATTGATCTGAAGCCACAAATAGCTCTTCATGAAGTCTGTCTCCTACTGTGTGACAACAGCATAAATCTCTGGATATTCATGTCATGTGTCACTGACCTCCAAGTGGAAAATAAGAGATCTAGAAAAATCAGCACTGCCCCCTTGAGGTTCTCTTTGCCACTGATTCCCTTTCAGCCCCGATAATACTGCTCTCTCCTGAGGTATCAGCTGCAGTAAGCACCCTCAACAGCAGAAGAGCACCGTGGGAGAACTCATGGATAATGTGTGGTACGCTTGCTCTAGCATTCAGTCAAAAAAGGGCTGATCTATTACTCCAGATTTTTATGTTTTGCAAAAACAAGGCTACATAAAAAGCAAAAGAAAAGAGCAGGTGCAGGCTTTTCTCTCTCTCTCTCTCTCTCTCTCTCTCTCCCTCTTAGGCATAAGAGGGGCCCCCTAAGACACAGATGCCTGCCATTATTGTGTCCATACCATCCTGTCTCATGTGGGCGCACCCCGTGGCCCATGTGCATTCTCTGGCACACTACCTTTATTTCATCTTGGCATTCAAGACCACTCATGACTCAGTACAAACCAACTTCTTCCCTTTTAGTCCTCACCATATCTCATCTATCAACTACGTGGCATGTCATGGAAAGAATGTGGGCTTTGTGCATGAGCCTGGATTGAGTCTTGATTCTTCTGCTTTATAGCTGAGTGCATGTCACAACCTTGCTGTGTGTCTGTGTTCTTACCTGTCAGCATAACATCCACCTCCTAAAGTTGCTGTTAAAAATAAATTCCCAGAGGCCTGGTACAATGGCTCAATTGGCTAATCCTCCCCATATAGGTGCCAGTTCATGTCCCGCCTACTCTGTTTCCCATCCTGCTCCCTGTTTATGGCCTGGGAGTGCAGTAGAAGATGGTCCAAAGCCTTGGGACCCTGTACCTGTCTGGGAGATCCAGAAGAAGCTCCTGGCTCCTGGCTTCGGGTCAGCTCAGCTCTAGCTGTTGCAGCCATTTGGCGGGTGAACCAGCAGATGGAAGATTTTTCTCTCTGTCTCTCTTTCTCTCTGTAAATCTGCCTTTCCAGTAAGAAGTAACTAAATCTTTTAAAAAGTGAAATTCTCGGAGGATGTTAGAACTTCCTGAGTCTTTTCCAGAGTTGCCTTAATGACCACAAGAGAGTGCAGAGACTGGGGGCCATCTAGAGACAGCTGAATTTCTATGAGGTTATATTATTTTATCTGAAAATAAATTGATGTGTATTTTGCATTCTATTCTTTTTGGGTGTTTATTAATACAAACATGTCTTTGTGCAAAAGCATTAAGAACATTTAAACCAAGGAATATGCAGGAAAATTATCCTGTGGCACCACATACAGCCTACTCCAAATGCAACATTACTGCAGTTCAGCTCCCTTCTCACCGTGCTGCCAGTACACACACACACACACACACACACACACACACACACACACACACACACACGGAGTTCTTATCTCGGGTTCTTTGGGTTCCTCTTAGCCATAGGCTAAGCTTGCCCAGTTCATTATACACACTCACTCCACCTTTTCATTCAGGAATGTTCTCTCTGTCTGCCATCCTTCTTCAAAATCTAGTCTGTGAAGTCCTTTGGAGTACCTCCAACACAAAGTCTCTCTTTTGTGGAAGTTCTTGGCATTTTACCTGTTTGTTTCAAAGCTAATACTACCTCCTTTGAGAGTTGTGACCAGGCCACACCCTCTTCCCCAGACTACAAGTCCAATAAGACCCTGTGTTCTGTGTCCTGTCTTCACCAATCATCACAGAGCACACCTGACCTCAGGACTACATAAGAAGTTCCCGCCTGCCTACCTTGCCTGTGTTTCCCTGCCCTGCCAGAATTCCCTCTCCACACTTCTACTTCCTGTCCAGCACAATCACCCATTCCTCGTAAAACCACAGATTCCTACCATGATATCTGATATTGTATGTTCCAGTGTGCTTCAGCGCATGACAGAATGACCTAGCCCCTGACATCTTGTGCTGTCCACTTGTGTACCTCAGGTCAGGATATTGTTGGGCACCCATGTGTGCTCTATAGGTCCCTGATGAGTGTATTATGTAGCTTGTGAAGCCCAGTCTGTCTCCACCAGGGCTGGCTGCTTCTAGACTCTCCCAGGAAGGAGCTGGAACAATACTTTGCAAACCAGTTGACATGCTAACGGGAAGGAGTCTGCCCTAGAGCCCCGTCTAATCCTCTCATTTAAAAACATAAGATAATGTCCCTAGTGAAACATTGAAAAATCAACTAGTCTTTTTAAAAAGATGTTTTCATTTACTGAATAAGCAGAATACAAAGAGAGAGAAGGAGAAGACAAGGAAAGAGGGAGGGAGTTTCCGTCCTCTGGTTCAACGGCCGACATTCGTTTTGAGGCCGTTTTCTCAGGTCTTTCTCACTTCACAAGAGTTACTGTATATTTGGCAAGAGGAATGACCTCCTGGTGTCATGTTGAGAGGTGACAACCAGGAGGTCAACTGGGACCCGTCTTGCAAATGACCACTCCACCCTCCCTCCCTTCTCAGGGAGTTGATAAATTCCACAGAGCATGGTCCTTCTGCATCACTCCAAAATAGTAGGAACAACTACAGTGCTTTCTAAAAATGTCAAGAACTTGCTGTATTTGGCATTGAGACTCTGCTGGGAAATCTGGGCTATTGGTTGCAGCTGTCGGAAACTTCAAAGAGATCTGTCCCCTTCCCCACTGCCATTGCCTAAACAACTGACTGAAAATTTCTTGTGAACCACATGGTTCTGCAGTGAACAGTATTTTAGGTAGTCTTGAGAGAATATAAAATAAAGGTGGAATACATCATGAAATAACCACACTGAGAGGATAAGAGGCTGTGGCATGCAAGCATAAGGTAGTTAAATGCTTAATTACCATAAGAAAAAACCAATAGAACATGTCTACCATGTTAAATAAAAAAATAGCCTTATGAATGTATATTTAGGAAGTGTGGAAATATCAGATGAAAGAACTAGACAAATTAACGGTGCTTGCTAGAGGCAATTCTGCCCAATTCTTCCACTGAAAGCATCTGGAAAAGTTGGAGAAGCTATTGTGTAGGGTCTACTTAAGGCTCAAAGGCAGTAAAAGGGCTAAAGATGAAGGCAAGAGGGAACTCAAAAGAGACAGCTACACTAAAATCAAGCCCTTTGGTTCACCTAAAGACATCAGTGAGCAAAACGGCAGAAGAAAGCATGAAATCTGAGAGAAGTTCGAGAAATGAGTGAGGAAAAGACAACTACAAAGAAAAATTGACAAGATGTAGGAATTGATAAAAAAAAAAAAAAGGACATCCGATGTCCAACAAGCAAACGAAAAAATATTCAACTCTGAGTCGTCAGAGAAATGCAAATCAAAACCACATTTTCGAACTGCTACAATGAAAATGACTGGCAGTACAAGAACTGGCAAGGACGCAGAACAGATGAAAATCAGCGAGAATATCAGTTACTGTACTTTGGAAAACAGCTGGTCATTATCCACTAAAGTTTAATCAATATGTGAGCTAGGGCACTCCCATTTTACTCATACACAGCACAGTCCATTCACAAGGGCACCGAAAAACATGTGACAAGTGTCCTGAGCAGCAGTATACATCACAGCCAATCCTGGAAACAGCCCATCTGCCTGTTGACCGTAGAGCTGTGGTGGTCAAAGGCTGTCTGGAAGGACAGCTTACCAGTCATGGCTGCCTGTAGCCATGTAAGTGATTCAAGGTTAAGCCAGAAAGATTGCACATTGCGTGGTTTCAGCTTTAGAAATTCCTCAAAAGCAAAGCTCATCTGTGGTGACCAAGAGGACAGGGGTCACTTTTGGATGGGAGGCAGGAGGGGGGAGCTTGCAGTATTGGATATGAGCTCCTGAGGTGCTGATTCTGTCCCATCTCCTGACCTAGGGAAGAATAGTAGCAGGGGGTGGTATAAATGCGTATTTAGTATGTTTGCATTAGTTTGCACACTTCTCTAGAAGGCATTCTTCAAGTTAGAAGAGTCTTAAGAAACACATAGGAACAGGTTTTTGTTACAGTAATAGAATTCATGTAGAACTAAGCAGATGATCTCCGCCAAACACCGTATCTTTGTTAGGGATGGCCCCTGGTTGGATTGTAGCTCCTACAATCTGATTCTTGGGGGTACAGGGTCAGGGGCCTGCATACGTCTCTTGTCGGCCTTGGTCAACATTTAACTCTGCACACACACACTCCATGAATACTTCAAATAGGCAAGAAAAAGGTAAATAATACATACAAAAAGCTGAGGTGATACCTTCTACCTTGGCAACAGCCAGACTTAAACCATCAATAAAGGCAAAAAAAGAAAACCCACATTACTTCAATTGGTGAACAGACATGAGAATAAGACACACATACATACATACATACATATATTTTGCTCCATGTTCTTAAGATGAAAGGAATATTTCATCTGTTTCACTTAGCAATTCAATATTTTATTTCTCAATGAACACACTAATTTCCATTTAGACAGACCTTTGAAGAAGTGAAACCTTTTTTATTTCATAGAAAATTCCATGGACAGAACTTACAAAGGCCCAAGTGGCAGTCTCAAGCAGGCAAGTGTGACAAGGCGGCTTTATTCCTGGAACTCAGGGTCCAAAAGTCATGCTCCCCCATCTAGTTTGGACCGTTTGCCTTCACAGGCCCTGCTTTCCTGTCTCCTCCCCGGGAAGGAGGCCTCCTGCAGAGGTGGGAAAATCCATGACATCATGTCTCCTCAGGCTGGGCTGTCTCTCAGGAAGCAGGTGCATTGGCAGAGTGGGGACTGATTTGGGTTTGCTGCTCAAGGAGCCCTCAGGGCCTCACACTTGGGGCCACCTTTGTGGTTTTTCCAATGACTTTGGCCATTCATTGCCTCCCCAGCTGCAGGTGTTATTACATAGCCAGCACCTTTTAGGCCTGAGGGGCGTGCCAAGCCAGTGGTTTCTGTGCCTTAGTCCTCTCTTAAGAGGGCACTGGGAACCGCTGGTGGTGCCTCTAAGGAGGGTATCTAGGCTTGGGTGCCAAGCAAAGCAGGGAAGCCTGAGAGGGGAGACATTACCTGGTGTGAAGGTCAGGCTGCAGCTCCTAACATGAGCCTTGGAATGGGAGCTCCCCTGCTGGTATCACCTTCCAGCAACAGCTTTGGGCTTGGAGGCAGAGGGGCTCTGGTCCAGCTCTGTGCTGTTCAAGCCTTGGGGGCCTTAGGGTGAGATTTGTTGCTGTTACTGTCTTTCCCCAGGGGTATAAGGTTGGTGATATAGAAGGAAAGTCGGTTGAGGTCTTGGCTCAGGATGATCCTATGTGCAGGGAAGGGTAAGTGGCCGTCTAGGTTCCCCCACTTCCATGGCTCTACCCCTTCTTCCTGAAGCCAGCATGCCCCATTCTCTGTCCTTGGCAAAAATCTGACTGCTCTGGCAATATGGCCAATGTCTCTGAAAATCCAAAAAGAAAACCAATAAGCTGTGTTTTTTTCTTTTAAACTTATAATAGTGGTCAAGTCTCAGTACACTTCAGCATCTATACCCGTACAACCAAGACAGAATATTATCATCACTCCAGACAATTCAC